AAATATTATCATATGCCTACATATAAGTTTACATTCACAAATCATAACTCACACTTTCAAAGTCATAACATAAATCATAATTATAAATGATAAATAAAAAATAAACTAAAGTCTAAAAGAAGAAAAAACCAAAAAATAGAAAAAGAAGAGAGGCAAGTGACTCGAGGAGTCAGTAGCACAACGAAGATGCAGTGGTCAGTGGCGGAGATCGGAGAGGCTAGATGGCTACTCAACGACATTCGACAGCAGGTAGCAAGGGCGGGCGGGAGGGAGGGAGTGAGATATAGTTTGGAATTGCGATTTGTTATTTCATTTTGCAATTGAATTAATTGTTACCATTAAACAACATATACCTATTAAACGCAACAGCTACATCTAGTGGATTGGGCATACCATTTTTTTTTTTTATAAGAGGCCTAGACATAAAAAAATGGCTCAATCCACATACTTGTCCTATTCCAAAACCTCCATGAGCGGCACCTTAACCTCAAGCTTCCTCCTTGGCACCGACGGCAACTGTAAATTGTGACTGGCTGTCTAAATACCCATAAATGAAATAGATATTTAACACTTTATAAAGGTGAGAGATCCTACCATTCAGATTTTGTTTAAGTTAGCCCAACCAACTTGTAATCAAAAAATGTTTAATGTTACTCATTATATACTGAAGTGTTAATAAACAAAGTTTTGGTGTTTGAAAAAAAAGAGAGTAAGATTCGAAAAGAAACGAAAAATTATCATTTCATAAAGTAAGTGAAGATAGTAATTTGCGGCGATGATACTGTATATTTACATAGGAAGAAATACTAGATGTGATCGCTACTGGCGGACCCAGCACAAAAGTTTAGCACAGACGGACGTTGATTATTGATCGTCGACAATCAGCGATCGTAAGAACGAGGTCGTTTATTAATTTGTGCACAAATAACTTTGTTAGGTATATTATATAACATAAAATAGTTAACTTGTGTATATTGTACCATCTAATCTTATGCATTAAATAGGTTGGAAGATTGTCCCTCTTACTTTGCAACTTTCGTCTTCTCCATTTTCATCGTTCGTCTCTTAATTAATTATTATTGTCGTTCATTAGAATGCAATTTTACTAACAATATTGGGTAATATAAATTCATTTGTCCCTTTAATACTCATTGTTTCCACTTTCCAGCAATATAGAGCTTTTGAAGTTATATTTTCTAGGTGAGTGTGGAGAGGATGTCACAAGTGAAAAAAAGAGTAGCGGACACTTTAAGTAATGAATAATCATTTTGTAATACAATAATAGAAGATGACAATGATAATTCAAAGCAGTCAATACAAAAAGTACAACTCTCCCCTCGACGGTATTGAAGGTTCCGGCGGATCCAGCACGGACGGCCGCGCCCTCTCACAGGGTGCTGGGTCTGCCCCGGTGATCGCCACGAGTTTATGGAGAGCTTTCTCAAGGAGCTAGGAAGCTTCCCATCAAGACACACAACTGGAGTCCGTTTTATTAGGAAATGTAAGGGGTAGATGGAGATAACATCATACTGTGACATTGTCGTAATTTCTATATATTACGAGGGAAATATCTTGAGTTTCATGTATTTGTAGGGATTGAAATTTGTGGAGTTTATATTTGAATAATGCTATTTATCATCACGATGGAATATTGGTGATGTGGCAACCCATTATCTTTCACATTTACGTCACTCTCTCATAAAAATTGAACTGTCAAATCTCATTGTTCCAAATAGATACCATATCACCGATTATTCATCTTCATAATGATAAATAACATTATTCTTTATATTTAAGAAGTTAGCTTCGTTACAGATCAAACAAAGCGTCATTTGAAGATCGAGAGCATCAATTGAGAAAATTATGATTCTTTGATCAAATGACGTCATTTGGTGTCACTTGAATTTTTCTTGTCACGTCTATTACAAAGAGACATGCTTGGTGAGCAGCTAGCCAACCTTCCCCTGTGCTTGGGTTCTAACATAGAGCCAACATACGGGGGAGCCGTAGGCCAAAATATGAGTAATCCTCATGGGCAATGGTTAAAATTGATCGAATTAAACTGAGTTTTTGGTTCAAACCAACCAATTCTTGCGTTCTGGGATTTGATTGATTTTGATTTAGGTTTTGGAACTTGCGGGAAATGCTGCGAGGGACAACAAGAAGAACAGGATTGTACCAAGGCACATACAATAGGCGGTAAGGAATGACGAGGAGTTGAGCAAACTGTTGGGGAGTGTTGCAATTGCGAATGGCGGTGTTTTGCCCAACATTCACCAGAATCTGTTGCCTAAAAAAGCTGGAGGAAGGGACAAGGAAATTGGCTCTGCATCACAAGAATTCTAGGGTTTATTGTATATTAGTGCGGCTTGGTTGATGGATATATATGGCTAAGGGTTTCGAGCAATTATTCCGTTTGTGTTCTTTGGTCCATTTAAACCCAAATTTTGGTTTGGCTAAATACAGAACATCTATGTTAGTTTCTTGTGCATTTCTCATAACTGTTAAAAGATTTGAAATCTTTCTTGAATCATGCAATTATCAACAGTTTCACATTCTCCTATTTATCTATTGGGATGATCGTGGCTTTTGGTGTGTGGTTTAGATCCAATGATTTGGTTATGTAACATTTGGTTTTGGATATTGAGTTTGACGTTCGGCTTCGCCTTAGAGCACTATGGTTGTTCACTATGTCCTAATATGCATAGGATATTCTATTTGTCATATGGCTATGTATGTAACCTTAGTGTTTTCAATGCAAAGGTTGTAGTTGTGGGAAACTCTGGTGTACGTTTATGCAGTTGTCCTCGGATTAGTTTGAAAGTGAAAGTAGACAAACTGTTCAATTGCATAATGATCCGTGACATCTAACAGAGAAATTTATGGGGGAAGTCTCCTCAGGGCTTGCATAAAAAGGTAAGTTTTCTTTTTGATCTTTTATGTTTTGTCTTCAAATACCCAAAGAAAAATTTAATGATAAAAAAAATTAAGTGCAGTTCTCGTTGGATACTTGATTGGTGAATGTGTTGAAACTTGCGACTCTGCGATACCTTGCGCATGGACCTAACGACGGGTTGAAAGGTGACTTTGCCACGAGGGGACTGATAATAGTATACTGAGCCAGTCACGAGGTTGCTCTCTGTATGATCAGTAGATAATTCCTCCCAACTCCCTGCCAGTAGAGGTGAACAGAGAGGAGGAAGGAGAACTAGAGTAAACCCTACTTTTTCATTTTTATTATGTTTGGCCATTTTTCTTTTGTTTTTACAGTCATGGACTTCGATCCTGCAGCTGTTGAGCGACTCAACTGGCGGCTGCCACGAAAGGAAAGCATAAAAAGAGAAGAATCACTATGCCTTACTTAAAATGTGTAGGCACCTGAGAAAGGGGAGGGGATTCTTAATGAAACTCACGGGGGAGGTCCCAAACCTAGAGTAAGTTCCTACAGAAGCACTAGTAGGCAACTTATCCCCAAACCTAGAGTAGCTAGATCGAGAAGTAGAATCAGTCCTTGTTTATACATAGGCTTTTCTAGTATGAAATGAGCTCTGCGTCCTCATTTCTGGCTTTACTTTGTTTATGTATCTGCTTTTGGGTGTACGCCGCTCTCATTTTTCTATTGAGAAATTAAATGATAATCTTCAATCAAAGTTTATGACAAAATTAATCCATTAACTATTGACTACTTTGAATTTATGAACGATTCTAGGACTATGACACAAGTTCACGGACAATATTTGAAGTCACTTATGGATACATGGTTTGAAGTGAAGCATTGGAGTTCATTGTCTACAATCATTCGCAACCATCAAATCTCTTTTATTTCACCGATACAATTTGATAAACTTATTCACTGATAGAAACGGTATGTAAATTAGCAGTTAGATTACATTGGAGCAAGAACAATGTCGTTAATCTCTAGTGTATCTTACAGTGAGATCACTGTCACATTGTCCAATGAATTAAAGTGCATTTCAACTTAATTGAATAATGTGGCTGGATATGAATTTCATTAGAGACGAACAACATTACTAATAAGCAATCATTGTGATTCAATATAAAGTCAGAAATCTAGCATCATCGAAGGGAATATCGTCACAAACCATTGTGTGAGTTGAAGTACCAGAGAGAGGGGCAAGTGAAGTGAAGGATGAACTTACCCTTTTTCTCCCAAGCTACCCCTCCCCCAATTCTTCTACCAACAGTAACAATAGAAAAGAAAGAGCTAGAACACGATCAAACATTCAATGCATTGGTAGGAAAAATACACGAGTGGGGAGATTTCACCACCTCCTACAAGTACTTCTTGGACTCTCAATCATATTAGGCGCCCCAACAAAAGCCGTAGTGAATTCACCCACTTTCTCTGCCTTCCCTATTTTGCCCGCACTCAAGATGAGATTGTTCCAGTTGAATGAAATTATGCCATTGGCTCAAATGCATAGAAGTGCATTGCTGCATTCTCGTCCTCCACCAATGCCAAGCGTCAATTTGCCTTTCTCCAATAGTATGAATTTGGTGTTTATATTGTTCAGTGTCGCAGGAACAATGTCTTCCAAAGCCAGTAATCTTTTTTGGGGCTCCATCTTATATACCGATCCTCCTGCAATCACAATCCTGCAATCACAAGTTCAGTGCACTTTCGTGCTGAATTGAAAGTGGAACAAACAGCTACCATGCAACCTAACACAATATAATTTTTTTTTCTTCTAATTCTAGCTTAAATCTTTGTGGAACAAATTACAGATATACACCTAAAACTTACCTCTACAGAACGGAAAATGAACTTGAAAAGATGCGTCCCTTTTTATTTTTGATTAAAAATTGGCGGGTTTGTTTGTTTGACATAAAATAAAATACAATTAAATAAATAAAAAAGAAAAAAAAAATGTAAGAGCGTAAACGACGTCGCTTCATATATTACTACAATTACATATATTATTCCGAAAACCCTAAACCCTAAAAAAATTTCAAGTCATCGGTTTCTTCACACTCAATCGATGGCGGAAGACGAATCGAGAATCTCCATAGCCAAAACTTTCCGTGTGAAGCCGAAGCTCCGACCCACGTCAAATAAAGCCACACCAACTCCAGAATCCAAGTTCTGGAAGTCCTTCAAAATCCCTAAAGACATTGAATTTACTCCATCAAAGTCTGTAATTTACCCTATAACTTCAATTGCGTTTTCCCCAATTGCTCCTCATGATTTTGCCGCCACCCATTCCGCTAATATTTCTATCTTTTCTGGCAAAACCCTCGAGCCTAAGTCAACTATCGCCTCTGCCTTTGCCGATTCCGCAACTTCCGCCGCCTTCCGCTGTGATGGGAAGCTTCTTGCTGCCGGAGATTTGACTGGGACAGTTCATGTCTTCGATGCGAAGTCCCGGACCCATCTCCGCCGTCTGAAGTGTCACTCCGCGGCGGCGCGTCTTGTGCGCTACCCACGCGCTGATGATAAGTTTCACTTATTCTCGGGTGGTGATGATTCTGTTGTGAAGTATTGGGATGTTACTACTGAGACGTGTCTATTTAATCTTTTGGGCCATAAGGACTATGTCCGGTGCGGTGATGCTTCCCCTGTGAGTGATGATATGTTCGCATCGGGATCTTATGATCACAAGGTAAGGATTTGGGATGTTCGGGTTTCGAATTCAGGGTCTGTTATGGAACTAAACCATGAAAAACCTGTTGAAAGTGTGCTTTACTTGCCGTCTGGTGGCTTAATTGCTACTGCAGGTGGTAATTTTGTGAAGATATGGGATGTGATTGGAGGTGGAAAATTATTGTATTCAATGGAGAGTCATAACAAGACTGTGACTTCGCTTTGCATCGGGAAAATTGGAAAAGAAAGTGGAGAAGAGGCTCAGCAGTATAGAATTTTGAGTGTTTCATTAGATGGTTATATGAAGGTTTTCGATTATGCAAAGTTCAAGATTACTCATTCCATGAGGTTTCCAAATCCTCTTTTGTCAGTTGGATTCTCGCCGGACTGTTCAACGCGGGTGATTGGGACTACGAATGGAACTTTTTATGTCGGAAGGAGGAAAACGAAATTGGAGAGTGATGGCCCGGGAGATGTTGTTGGGTTGGGAGATGTAGAGGTTGACCCCGAGAGAAGGGTTATAAGGCCTACTTATTTTAGGTACTTCCATCGAGGGCAAAATACGAAGCCTTCAGAAGGGGATTACTTGATTACGAGACCAAGGAAATTGAAGTTTGCCGTGCATGATAAGTTATTGAAGAAGTTTAGGCATAAGGAGGCATTGGTGGCGGCTTTGAGTGGGAAGAATACGGAGAATGTGGTGGCTGTTATGGAGGAGTTAGTGGCTAGGAAGAAGTTGCTGAAATGCGTATCTAATTTGGATGAAGAAGAGCTCGGATTGTTATTGGGATTTCTGCAGAAGTACTCTACAATGCCAAGATATGCCGGGTTTTTGATGAGGTTCACGGAGAAGGTTGTTGAAATGCGAGCTGATGATATAAAATCTTCTGATCAATTAAGAGGTAATATTAGAAATCTGAAGCGAGATGTTGAAGAGGAAATCAGAATACAACAGTCCATGCAAGAAATACAGGGTATTATATCTCCAATGCTTAGGATTGCTGCAAGGAGATAAACTTTACACAGTCTCTCTCAATTAGTTGGTACTTCTCTGACTTCTTGTTCTCTGGGGTTTCGTTGAAAATGAGAACAGGTTTGGAATTTCCTTTTGTTAGCTCTATCTTTGTTATTTTATTATCAGTGTTCTTGAAGAAACATAGCCATCCTCTTGGTAGAATTTCGTCAGACTGCTTATTTTGATCATTTTTGGTTCACACAAATTGTTGTAGGAACTATTTTCTAATGTATTGAGAATTGAGATCATTTTCCAGCACAATATTAAGAGCATTGTTGCTTACTCCATGTCTGTGAAATTTAAGATCATATTTTATTTTTGCTGCATGCAATGAACCATTATCTGTTATTCTGATCTGTTTACCAAAATGAGAAGTTAACAATGATATGATGTCCATATCATCAAATTTGAAATGTTGGCCGTGTATTATACTTGTTCAAAGCATAAAATTCATCCACCAGACGGAAATGCAACACATTCAGGTTTATTTAACTGGAAGAGCAGCAGTGTCATGAATGTGTTATGGTGGCTCGAGATATGGGCATTTAGCCATATTGAACAGCACTGGCTCCACAGACTTGATTAGGAGGTGGTATCCTTTGGGCGTAGTTGTCTGCTCTGCCAAGTGCAAGAATTAAGAATATCAATAAAATCTGGCGACTTACAGTAACTGATGGAAATCAGAAAATTGGTTCACAAATAGGAGATCTTTCTATTATCACCGTTTTTCAATCCCTATTCCTGTTCTTAATCGGAAATGTTTATTAAAGAGAGCCCCACATTATCATAAAGATTCATGTACGAAACACCAGGTGAAGGGAGGGGAAGAGGGACAATATATTAAGGTGAAATAGCAAAATCTAGGTCGAGAGAGAATTGTTATATTGAAATTCTAAACTCTCTTCACTAACGTTTGTTGAATATTATTTAAAAAAAGAGTGCACTTCACTGCTCGTTGAGCCAAGGAACTTAAAACATAATAGTTGAGTTGGTTGGTTCTTCCTCTAACCTTCAGCTCCACGGTCGGGTTCTATCTACTGAAAGCAGGAGGCGTATACAACATTTGAATTGCAAATAGAGAAGAACAGAAATGAGACAAACAAGAGAGACGAGCCCACATGGTTTGGGTATAAAATCTAAAGTCAGTTTCTATTATCAGATACTATAAGGTTATATCTCAACTTTAAAAGCATAAGCCTCAAATTTGAGGTCTTTGCATAAGAACTTAAGAAATGGCCTGGTGTGTACACATTTGAATGCAGAGAATTTCCCAATCTCACGTGCAGTTCCCCCGTAACTTTGTGGTACTGCCATTAAATCTGTTGTTCTTAATCAAGAATTCCTTGTGCAGAAAAACGAAAATTGGATTTTTCATGCTCTTGTTACGAGTAAATGTAAGTTCTTCGACCCAAAAGTAGCATTCTTTTATCTCTGTCACAATTTCCTTGATTTTTTGATTGTAAAAGAAGATATAATAGGGTATAACAAGTCACTAAATCAAATTCTGGTTCTAAAAGATCCCAACTTAGCACGTTCGCTAGGCATAAGGTATATTATTGTTGAACATATGCATAGTCTAAACGTTTGTGATTTTGTTTTAAATCAAGTGTAGTCTAGAAAGAAATAAAACATAAACAACCATATTTTCACCATTTCTTGCAAAAAAATAAAAAATAGATTCTGAACATCTCTGGAGAAGCAGAATTTTGAAGGCTCTAGCTACAAAATGGAGGAAAAAGTTAATCATAAAATTTGCTGCAGTTTTATGAATCAAAGATCAAAAGTGGAACGCATAAATTCTTCAAAAAACCCTATTGAAAGCCACAATTGCTACTCAATGCAACACTCCTTTGAAACGTACTCTTCCATAACTCATCTGTGAACTAGTATTCGTTTCAATACAATCCCAATTTCACATACTTCCATATTGTTATCTTTCAGTAGTCAAGAGGCCAACAGCAAATGTACTTGAGTTATAACTCAAAACAGATACATGAGATTCATTTCATTTTGTACAAAAAGAAGCAAGAGGAATAAACCAAGAGGCAGCAAAAATATGAGCCACGTCTAAGATCGACATGCTTTTCTTGTTTTAGCATAATCTTTGAAAAGTTGATGCCTGCATTTGGGAAATAAAACGAATGATTAAAACAGTATGTAGATCAAAAGTAAAAAGCAGATTAGCCCAATAAAGTCTACATCACATTAGGATCATGATTCATGAACTTTTTTTTTTTTGATAACTATGGTTGTCCGGGCCAATTTGCGCACACATCGACTAACATTTATTATTATTTTTTACGACGTAGGAACCTGCAGCCGCTACTCGACAGTGGAGCCCCGACCACCCCAAAGGGGCGGAGGCTCGACCACCGTGAGTGCGCACTGGGTAAATCCCGCTCCATGTACAATAGCCCGTAAACCACACAGGAGAGGTAAACCGCATTAGACAAGCCCGATGCGACGGACTCGAACAAGGCAGTGTCGGCAGGGGATTCGAAACTCGTGACCTTCGGTCTCCGCGTTCACCTCCTCCACCAACTTGGCCACCCCCCAAATGGGTCATGAACTTTATTTATTATTATTAGAAACACTACATTATAAATACTCTGCAAGTCCTAGCTTCTGGAAATTCAAAGAATAAAGAGTCTCCTCCAAATTCTTATGAGTTTATTCAAGTCTAAAAGTCCAAATCAAAGTATAGGAATCAAGCCATGGGCCTCTATCTTCAGCTTCAGAGTGCTAATTAATCGTGCATGCAAGAAAAAGCACTAAAAAGAAGATCAAGTTCACTCTTGAAGTTAAATTCTAAATTTGTAACCACATACCTATATTTACAAACATAATTACCTGTACACGCGCACATGATGCAGATGCAAGAAGCAATATAGCACCAAAGAGTAAAATAATAGATAAGAAAGCAATTTAGAGTGTGAATATTAATCCACCTCGCTTTGAGTTTGGTAAGACAAATATGAAGAACTATGATTTCATATAGCAATTTGCAAACTGGTGTGAGTAATACAGGGAGTAGAGGTTAGCAAATATACATGGATCCTTTTAATCATTTTGATGATTAGGTATCTTACGGATTTCAATTAGATGATATTCTCAGTGCCTTATTCTTATTGAATTTGATATCTTACCTAAATTCACTATAATTTCTTAAATCAACTTTTGTAGTTATTCCATATAAGATGTTAAATACTCGTTCAAACCTTTTGCTATGCAAAAAATGTATTCAGATCCATGGATCTAAAATCTAGGAATTTGAATCCACATTTACAATCCTTCTCGAAAAGCCAAATTCAAGTATCCAAGTTCTAACTATATGCTTTTGCTGCTATACTGACCTCTCATATTGCAGTTTCTGGATTACAATCCCATTCAGCAAAAGCTCTGAACTATAAATGGAAGCTCCTGCAGATGTAAATGTAATAATGCCACATAGTTGCTTCAGAATGTAGTGTTTTGTCAAAAGGAAGAAAAAACAAGTAAAAAAATCATACCTTTCTCAAGAAATGGCACACACATCTTATAATCTTCTTCACAAGAGAGAATTAACAAATCATCTGGAATTACGTGATCTTTTCCTTTTGCACTCTGTAATTTTTGGACTGCCTGAGGAACATTTCGTAAAAGAACTCAGTTTTTCATGAAGTTGCATAGTATTTTCTGCAATCATATTGAATTCAGAATCAATTAATCTTTTCTCAGGTACTAAAATAAATGAGAAGTGTGGGAAATTATGCTTCATCCTTGTCTTCTTCGCGTCCCTTGTAAAATTATATCCTCAAATGCTCAAGCTATATTTCCTAATTTATACAGAACAAATGTATATCTGGAACCTAGTTGATGGTCATGATTCATGACATCTTACAGTAACTCTGCAGCGTAGCCAAAGAAAAGGCCACAAATATATACCTGTCCATGAACTGCCATCACCAAACAACATATCACATCTATACCAGGCTTGACATTTGGAGTAGCAAAGACTCTCTTTCCCTGTTAATTGGAAAGAAAACAAGTTTTAAAGTACTTATTTTCAGTGCATGCGAAACCTTTCGTGCAGCAACGGATTTTTGTCTGGATGCAAACTATATATTACCTCTAGAAGTGGGTGTTGGCATGCACGAGTCAGTGAAACAGGCATACTGAATCCGATTTTCTTTTCCTTTTTGTCATCCCTCAGAATGTAACTTTTCTCATCAATGAAACAGCCAACTTGTCCACAGCTCTCAAGCCATAAGTGTGTCACCACTGGTTTTCCAAGAGCAATGGCTTCCAACATATTCCTAGTTCTCACAAATCTATCAGTTACAAAATGAGTAGCATCTGAGCAACACGATGCGATCGAAAAGCCTAATTGTGCCACAATCTGCCAGACAAAAGTATCAGTAGGTACACGACCTTTGATCAATTGTAACATTAGGTTGAAGCAACCAGAATGTTGATTAAGTGGCAAATGTGTACCTTTCTCTGCTGCTTAAGTATATTGGCGTCCAAGTTCTGGCTGAACAAGATGCAAGCCTTTGCCGCAACTTTTCTTCGTCTTAAATCTTTTGCCAAAAAATCTGGTAGAGATTCAGTGTATCCCAATCTCACAAGCTCTTTCATTAGGGGAGATCTAGAGGGGTTATTGCGTGGTTGCTTGCTTTTCTTGCCACGCTCATATACTTGCAAACCCTTAGAATTCCCATCTGGTAATGCATCCAACTTCATGATACCTGAAGTACCGACAGAGGGTATGGGACACCCTCCATCTAATTTACCAGATTGCTTTGACTTTATGGATCTATCAAGGTCGACAGGAACCTGTACCATTGTGCTAGCAGATACATTATTATTAAATTCCAGACAATCCCAATCACCTATATTCTGCCTTGTCGAGCTTGCCAAACGGTTTCTTTTTAATGAAAATTGAAATTCTCGGGAATGACATCTATTCTCATTTTTCTCATGAACTATTTTGCTCTGTCGAAGCTGGTTACTATTTGAGTGGCAAGGCACATTATGTCTTGTTCTTTTCCGTCTAGGATAAATCCATGGATTTAATTTTAAAGGACTTCCCACAACTAGGTTTAATTTATCTTGATGCTTCAAAGGGTGGGTTGTATCCTGGAAACATGAAACAGAATCCAACTTCAAACAATTCCCTCTAACTCCACTTTTGCACACATCCTCATGAAAGCTAATCATATTTCTTCCTTGCTGAGGGGCACCAGACTTCATAATATCATTTGTCCTCTCTTCAGAACTATCAATTGAATCCTCAGCCTTTTCAAAAGAAATCACTGATGAATAGTTCCCAGTCCCACGTGCAGCATGTGAAGAGTTACTGAATTTGTCTTTTGAACATTGGTCATCTAAGTTACATCCAATAGATTCTAATAAAAACTTATTCTTTCGAACCTCTTTCAAGCTATCTTTTTCAGTAAATCCATCTTCCTTATGTTGTACTACAGTCCTAGGAGCCCTTCCATGGTTGCTATTCTTTTTGTTTCCAGGATTTCTACCATTTAAGTCCTTCTCAGTCAATGGCTCCTTCATCAAATTTTTCTTTGGTAATAATGGAGACACAGTCCCCCTTTGGCCTTCAAAGTGTTCATTGAGCGAGCAAGATATATTTCCATTTACCCTTTTAGCAGATCTCTTCACATGCTTTGTCTGTTTCCGTTTGTCTGCTGAACCTAAAAAATCATTCTCAATATAAGTGCAATCATTTGATTTATGCTTCTTGTTTGCACCTTCAGAAGAGTGAACAAATGTGTCATCAAAAAATTGACAAGTAAAATCAGCATTAGATGTAGGTGGAGGCGCAGATATTAATGCTTCCATAGCTTCAGCGGCCATTTGAGTGTCAAAACCAATATCAAATATTTCTGATGTATCCCTTTCATCGCTAACGTTTTGTAGATGCTGCTCCAATTGTCCTGCACCAAACTGTTCATCCAACTCTATAAAATTATTTTCAACAGTCACTCTAGAGTTTGTGGCTACTCTGTCAACCTCATTGGGGCAAATTAATTTTGTACCTAAATTATTTGAACTAGATATATTCCCTGTGAGCTGATATTTGGACTGAAGAAGAAAGCTCTTCTTTTGCAAGCCAACAATATCAGATTCCTGATGTACAAATGCAGATCCTGATTTGTTTCCTTCCCATCCAAAGATTGTGTCATCTGTCGTTCCCAGGAAGGTGTACCCACCATTCTCATTTTCCTTTCCGGTCCAGTCAAAAGTCGTAGAGTTACAATCAATGATTCCAAGATTTACTCTCCTCGCCAAACTTTGAGTCCCTTTTGACCTCAAAGTTGCTGGTGATTTTATTCTGTTAGTCTTTTTAGTTTCAACATTTTCACACAAGTTCAAATCACTAACTGACAGATAGTGATCAATAAAGTCTAAGGCCCTAGATTGTGAGAATTCTGCTGGTTCTGGCGATTCCACGGGGTTAAACCTTGCACAACTGCGTTCATAAGTTACATCCTTTTCTATATCCATGTCCAGAGACTTATCTGATGACCACTTTTTCTCATCAAGCAATGTTTCAGACAAACTTCCACTCACCACATTCCTTAACTCTTGGTTGTGAGATTCTTTTCCATCCATAGGAATTGAATTTCGATTTGCAGTGCTGGATAGTACATTGTTAATAGTAATAGATTGTTCCTGATATCTAGTAACGGTGCCAAGAGAAGTAGGCCCAGCATCACTTTCTTCATCACATCTAGTTCGTCTAGCTGAATCAACGTGCTGAAACGAATGTGCACAGACTCTGCTATGCAGCCGCCTCAAATAACCTGCAACAGAGGAAAAAATTGAACTAAATCAACTTAATGACAGAGAAACTACAAACTGAATTTGAATGAAAAAAAAATGAGTCTAGAATTCCTTCATCATGTTAGTAAGCACTTGAGTCAATTTTTGCCGATACATTATGTCAATATGCATAAAACTTTAACATTTCATGTATATATTTTAACTTTAAATGCTCAGGGTACACATTATCCTAATGTCAGCACCAATACAAACTATTTATTGTGAGATGATATGTATGGAACTATTATAAGAACACGTTCCCATCCTCCATGATTTAGCAATGCAACTTAAACTAAAAACAGCAAAATCAAGGAAATTGTTTTAAGTTCTCAACAATTTCTTTTCAAATTCGAAAAGCAAATGGCTTTGTCTACCAGTAGTAGATTGCTTCCTTTTCACCCCATTCACCACATTCATGGCCTCGTTCTCGTGTCCTCGTTCCTCATCACTGTCAAGTACCACTTCATTCGATATTTCGTCTTCAGTCTGAGCTTCAAAATTTTCAATCGAATCAGGTATATCCAAAACCTCAGTATCCGTGCCAAGTTTAAAATATCCGGGTTCTGGCTGAGGACTCCCCAATGCAACGGTGTCATCAGAAGGAACAGTATATTGATATTCATTCTCCATCCTAACTTCAACCTAAAATTTCCTGTTTCCAAATCAAATAAAACACAAAGGGGATTTATACGAAAAATTAAAAAATGCTTCCATATTTTTTTCCCATTTTGTTTGTGTACAGCATAAAATTAAAAAATGCTTCATTTTTTGCTTATTTGTTTGGATACAGCATAAAATCATTCAAAACGCTTGAAAGCAATCACAATAATACAAATAATCATCATAATCACAGCAAAAATCTCAATTTTATTTCGTAAAAACACAAAGGGGATTTATTGATATGATTAAAAAACAAAAAAAATTACATTAAATACTTCATTAACAGACGATCATTTACCTCAGGAATTACACAAAATGGAAGAATCCACTGTCCAATTTTTTTCATAAGCACGCCATTTTAGCTTCAAAGATTAGAATTAATTGTATGTACTAATCAAGAAATACACAGTGTTTTAGATGGAAAAAATGATTGATCGATATGATGAGACCAATGGAAAATTATTCGCAAGTTTTGGAGGGAATTTAATTTCTCATTTTCTATTGAAATAACAATCCAAATTAAATGGGTTAACATGGCGGGCATTTGGTCTAGTGGTATGATTCTCGCTTAGGGTGCGAGAGGTCCCGAGTTCAATTCTCGGAATGCCCCTTTTTTCTTTTTTCAACATTTCTTTTGGCCATTTTTTTTTTGCTCTTTGGTTTTCGTTACTATTTTGGGGTCTTACAAGAAAAAGAAAAATGAAGTGTAATATGATGATATCTATTTTATTCTATCCCTTTCTTTTAGCCTGACCCTGATGGATTATTTGACACAAATAAAAGCAGATAAAAAAAGCCAACAAATGAAAACAAAAGAATGAAGGAAAAGGGGCATTCCGAGAATCGAACTCGGGAC